AGGAGGAGGGGGAGGGGGAGGAGGAGGGGGAGCAGGAGGGGGAGGAGGAGGAGGAGGAGGAGGAGGAGGAGGAGGAGGAGGAGGAGGAGGAGGAGGAGTAATAACAGTGATAGGCGTAATGCAAGGAATACTGGTACTTCGAATACTTATGCCAATGAGAATCATAATGGTCATAATACGAATCTGAATTAATAATCATGATACCAATGATAAGAATAATGGTTATGATGAGTGGTCACGCGCAAGACAAAGTGACCAGCAGGTCCCGCCCACTCGGCCGGGAGCTGGCCCGTACGGCCCGCCGCCAGCGCCGCCCGCAGCCGCCACGCGGGCGCCACGCTCGGGTCCTCCGCCCGAGCCGCGGCGCGCAAGCAGGCGGCCTGCCTGCTGGGGCCCCCCCGAACGCACCCTCGCAATCCGGGCGTTGCAAGTCTTTCGCGCTGGGCACTCTCGAACGTCTCCGGGCCCCGGGGCCACCTCTGATCGCGACGTCGTAAGTGTTTCGCAACCCCAGATCTCAGGGACGGTGCGGTGACACACTGCATGGTAGCTTCGACGTCCTGGAAGACCTCACCGCACGCTCCCTCACCACGCGGTTTGGGGACCGTGGATGCCTCCGCCGCCCGAGAAGTCCTCGGAGGACGACCCGAGTCCCAGAACCGTGCGGTGACCCCGACCCAGACATGCGTTGTCTTGTTCCCAGCCATCCTGTGGTGTTGGGTCCTCTCGTTTTGAAGAGACGGTCCCCACGGCCTCCTTCCTTCCTTCCTTCCTCCTCCCCCCTCCTTCCTCCTCCCGTCACCCCCCTCACTCTGGCACACCTCTCACACGTTTCGTGGCCCCATAGGGAGCTCCACCGAAGGCCTCAGTGGGGGTGCCCGCATGCGTCCGCCACACCCAGCACAGCGTTCCGTGGCCCCATAAGGAGCTCCACCGAAGGCCTCAGTGGGGGTGCCCGCATGCGTCCGCCACACCAAGCACAGCGTTCCGTGGCCCCATAAGGAGCTCCACCGAAGGCCCCAGGTGGGGGTGCCCGCATGCGTCCGCCACATTCGATACAGCGCTTCGTGGCCCCATAGGGAGCTCCACCGAAGGCCCCAGGTGGGGGTGCCCGCATGCGTCCGCCACATTCGATACAGCGCTTCGTGGCCCCATAGGGAGCTCCACCGAAGGCCCCAGTGGGGGTGCCCGCATGCGTCCGCCACACCCAATACAACGTTTCGTGGCCTCAAAGGGAGCTCCACCGAAGGCCCCAGTGCGGGTGCCAGCACTTCGCGGCCCCATACGGAGCTCCACCGAAGGCCCCAGTGGGGGGTGCCCGCATGCGTCCGCCACACCCGATACATCGCTTCGTGGCCCCATATGGGGGTTCCAACGAAAGCCCCAGTGGGACCGCCCGCATGCGTCATCCACCACCCAGCACACCGTTTCGTGGCCCCATAGGGGGCTCCACCGAAGGCCCCAGTGGGACCGCCCGCATGCGCCATCCACCACCCAGCACAACACTTCGTGGCTCCATAGGGAGCTCCACCGAAGGCTCCAGTGGGACCGCCCGCATGCGTCATCCACCACCCAGTACAGCGTTTCGTGGCCCTATAGAGGGCTCCACCGAAGGCCCCAGTGGGAGCGCCCGCATGCGTCCGCCACGCCCAGCACAACGTTCTGTGGCCCCATAGGGAGCTCCACCGAAGGCCCCAGTTGTGGTGCCCGCATGCGTCCCCAACACCAAGTACAGCGTTTCGTGGCCCCATAAGGTTCTACACCGCCATACTCAGTACAGCGCTTCGTGACCCCAAAGAGGGCTCCACCGAACATTCGCACACGTCCCAACCATTCGTCTCCCCCTGCTCGCACGGCCCCGCGCCGCGTTCTTCCTACGGCGCGCTGCTTATGAGAGCAGAGGGTATACTGCATGCGCTATTCGGGGTTTGCGTGCCCTCCTCCTTCGTCTCGTCTCCATCGCGGTTCTCGCAACTGCATATGGCTGGGTCTTTCGTCAGGCTACTTTGTTTCAATACGGGGTTCCTGGAAGTCCCGACCCATTCCCTGGGACCGGGCCGTCCTGTGGTGTTGGGTCATCGTTCTGAAGAGACAACGCCCCGCGTCTCCTCTCTTCCCTCCTCCCCCAGTTTCCTTCCTCCCATCACTGCCTCTGCCCTCCGCACCAGTCAACAATTTCGGCACACCCCTCACACGCTTCGTGGCCCCATGGGGAGTTTCGCCGAAAGCCGCAGCGGCTGCGTTCGCATGCGCCCATCGATCCCACGCCGGCACTCGTAGGGAGCTCCAACGAGGGCCTGAGTGACTGTGTTCGCATGCGCACACCGCACCAATTTCGGCACACCCTTCAAATGTTTGGTGGCCCCAGAGGGAACCCCACCGAAGGCCCCACTGGCTGCGTTCGCATGCGCCCGCCGCAGACATCTCGGCACAACCCTCACAAGTTTCGTGGCCCCTAATAGGGAGCTACGCCAAGGGCCCCAGTGGCTGCGTTCGCGTGCGCCCACCGCGCCCATGTCGACACACCCGTCACACGTTTCGTGGCCCCGTAGGGAGCTTCACCGAAGGCCCCCATGGGTTGTCTCAAATGCGCCCACTGCGCCCATTTCGGCACATTCCTCACACGCTTCGTGGTCCCATAGGGAGCTCCACAGAAGACGAGACTCACATATTCTTTGTTCACAACTGCATATGGTTGCAGCCTTCGCCAGGCAAATCATAAGTAGTCGTTGGTGGTCCCAGTGCTCAGCGAATACCTCAGAAACCGAAGATGGCTCCAAGCCTCCCGCCGCTACTTCCCAACCAACCTGCGTTGTTCAGTCCTCGTTTTGAAGAGACGGTCCCCGCGTTCCCTCCTGCTTCCTTCCTTCTTTCCTCCTCCCTCCTCTTTCTCCCCCTCCTCCTTCCTCCTTGCGTTTCGCCCACCCAGTACAGCGCTTCGTGGCCCCATAGGGAGCTCCACCAAAAGCTCCTGTGGGACCGCCCGCATGCGTCATCCACCACCCAGCACACCGCTTCGTGGCCCCATATGGAGTTCCACCGAAGGCCCCAGTGGGACCGCCCGCATGCGTCATCCACCACCCAACACAGCATTTCGTGGTTCCATAAGGAGCTCCACGGAAGGCTCCAGTGGGACCGCCCGCATGCGTCATCCACCACCCAGTACAGCGCTTCGTGGCCCCAAAGAGGGCTCCACCGAAGGCCCCAGTGGGACCGCCCGCATGCGTCATCGAACACTCAGTGCAGCGCTTCGTGTCCCCATAAGGGAGCTCCACCGAAGGCCCCAGTGGGACCCTTCGCGTGCGTCATCCACCACCCAATACAGCGCTTCGTGACCCCATGCGGAACTCCACCGAAGGCCCCAGTTGGACCGCCCGCATGCGTCATCCACCACCCTGTACAGCGTTTCGTGGCCCCATAGGGAGCTCCACCGAAAGCCCCAGTGGGACCGCCCGCATGCGTCATCCACCACCCAGTACAGCGCTTCGTGGCCCCGTAAGGGGGCTCCACCAAAGGCCCCAGTGGGACCGCCCGCGTGCGTCATCCACCACCCAGTACAGCCTTTGTGGGTCCATAGAGGGCTCCACCGAAGGCACCAGTACGGGTGCCCGCATGCGTCATCCACCACCCAGCGCAGCGCTTCGTGGCCCCATACGGAACGCCACCGAAGGCCCCAGTGGGACCGCCCGCATGCGTCATCCACCACCAAGTACAGCGTTTCGTGTCCCCACAGGGAGCTCCACCTATGGTCTCCGTGTCGGAACCCGCATGGCGGTCCAGTGGCGGAGTTCGTATGGCGGCGACTTTCGATTTCCGAACGCTTTTTCGTGCTATTCGAGGTGTTGAGGCCGCTTTCGGGCCGCGCATGCCAGGCGGGAGCCAAGCTGCTCGCTCTCTCTGCTCCGCGCAACGGACGACCCGCGCGCGTCGCCGGGACCCCTTCGGGGCGACCAGCGCGCGTCGCGGGGACTCCGTGCGGCGCCGCGCCCGCAGCCTTGGACGCGGGCGTGCAAGGGCAAAGATGGAAACAAAAAGGGAAAGGAAACGGGCGCGATCCTCGTGAGAGGCGTGCCGACATGGACGTCGACACTTATGCACGTAGATTCACGCGCGCGCAGACTCATCCACAATCACTCTGGCTCGCTCTCAGTTTCTCGCACACAGACCTATCGTCTTCGCTCGCGTTGTGTGCCCCGCCACGCCTGTCGGCACGCCTTTCACATCGTTCGTGGCCCCATAGGGAACGCGGGCGAAGATGATATTCAGAATTGCGGTTTTCACAACTGCATATGGTTGGGTCCTTCGCATGGCTATTTTTTTACGACGCGACCATGCCTGTAGAATCCCCATTGACTCACCTCGCGGTGCTATCACCGCACCGTTTTGGGGCCCCCAACTGCCGCGAAAGGAACACGCTGAGGGCGAGGCCGCCGCCCTGCAGCACCAGGTAGAGCAGCCTCGGCGGTTCAAAGAGGGGGCTTTTAAAGGGTGGGGTCCCAAGGACGAGGTGCCTCAACCCGTGTAAATCCACCGTTGGACCCCTTCCTCTCCTCAGGACGCCATCCCCTACGACCCCGTTTCTGATCCACCGACAGCCGGCAGGCTAGAAACTCGGGCGCATTGGCGCTGGCGCCGAGCTGGGCGTCCGCGTGCAGCTCCTCTCGACTGCACGCAGGGGTGACCCCAGTCCCGAGTGAGTGACCTTCGGCGCGAGGCTTTCAGGCGCCGCGGGGGAGCCCAATCCCCGCACGCAGGCCAGCGATGGAGGGACCCCTGTGGCCCCGCACCAGAGATCACTCCGGCGAAGGGTCCCCCTGTCCTCTTCGTCCTCCTCCCACTTTCCCCCTCGTCTTCCTCATGCCCCTCGTCCTCGTACTTTCCCCCCCTCCTCCTCCTCCTCCTCCTCCTCCTCCTCCTCCTCCTCCCCTCCTCCTCCTCCTCCTCCTCCTCCCTCCTCCTCCTCCTCCTCCTACTCCTTCCTCCTACCTACTACTACTAACTACTACTACTACTACTACTACTACTACTACTACTACTACTACTACTACTACTACTACTACTACTACTACTACTACTACTACTACTACTACTACTACTACTACTACTACTACTACTACTACTACTACTACTACTACTACTACTACTACTACTACTACAACTACACTACTACAATTACAACAACTACTACTACTACTACTACTACTACTACTACTACTACTACTACTACTACTACTACTACTACTACTACTACTACTACAACTACTACTACTACTACTACTACTACTACTACTACTACTACTACTACTACTACTACTCCTACTCCTACTCCTCCTACCTACTCCTACTCCTACTCCTACTCCTACTCCTACTCCTACTCCTACTACTACTACTACTACTACTACTACTACTACTACTACTACTACTACTACTACTACTACTACTACTACTACTACTACTACTACTACTACTACTACTACTACTACTACTACTACTACTACTACTACTACTACTACTACTACTGGGCAAAAGTGACCTTCGGTGCGCGGTTTTCGGGGTCCGCCAAGGGCCCAAACCCAAGCGCGCGGGCCAATGCTGGGGCCCCATCTGTGAACCCGAGCCGGAAGTCACTCCAACGACGGGTCACTCTAACGTGTGGCCGATCCTCCAGCGGGCCAAAGGATTGGTCGAACTGCTTGAAGTCGCCGGCCTCGAGAGCGAGCCGGGCGGAAAGCTCGTACACCTCCACCGTGAAACTGCTGCGGATCATCTGCACAGTGAGGTCCTGGCGTTATGGCCGGCTGGGGGGCTGAGGTGGCCCAGCGCTGCATCCTGCCATCAGAAGGATGGAATAAAGGGGCCCCTCGTCGCACGGCTGGACGCGGCTCGAACACCTGGCAGTATCGACCCTGGGGGAATCTGGGCACCGATTGTGGGCGAAGTGGCCCCCATTCCTCACTCATGACCGACTCTCTCTCTCTCTCTCTCTCTCTCTCTCTCCAACTTTAGGCTTATCCAGCTCGGATGCCTGACCATGAGGAAGATGAGGAACAGAGGGGGCGAGGAGGAGGATGAGGAGGATGAGGAGGAGGAGGAGGAGGAGGAGGAGGAGGAGGAGGGGGAGGAGGAAGAGGACGAGGAGGAGGAGGAGAACGCGGAGGAGGAGAACGAGGAGAAGGAGGAGAAGGAGGAACAATGGGAGGAGGAGGAGGAGGAGGAGGAGGAGGAGGAGGAGGAGGAGGAGGAGGAGGAGGAGGAGGAGGAGGAGGAGGAGGAGAACTGACTGACTGACTGACTGACTGACTGACTGACTGACTGACTGACTGACCACCATGAGCTCCATCGATCTCTGACGCGACGTGCACTCTGATCCCGCTGCAAATCTCAAATCAAAATTATCATTCAGCAGTCCATCTTCTGAACTGCCTGCTGAGAGGAGGAGCAGAACGAGGAGGAGGCGACGAGGAGGTGGAGGAGAATGTTGCGTTGCCCGCGCGGGTAAAACGTGCATAAAAAGGGTAAAATAAAACCGTGGCGCTCAACAAGCGTGGGTCAACGTGCCCTGGTCGACGGCCAACGTGGCCAGCGGCCAACACCAAAGGCACTCGTGCAGTATATGCAGGGGGTCGTTGGCACAAGCTGGGGCCTGACCTCCGGCGCCATTTCCCGATTATCTCCCAAACGCGCTAGGAACGCTGTGCCTTAGGGGGGAGATCAAATGAAAGAAAGCACACCAAGGACCACCCTAACTAAACACCCCGCGCCAAAATGGCGCATGTGGGTTCAGGATATGCACCCGAGGGCGTTGCCCAGCACCCGCACCTCCACTGGCACTGCAGCAGCATGCCCGGGGCAAACAACAGTGCGACCAAACTGTTACATGCGGAATGCCGCGGGCCCCGCCACCGTGAACGTCAACGGCTGTTCACCTCAGACCAGGAGGTGCCACTGGGGTCTCCCAGCGCCCAAGCCGCACCCCTTGGCCGAGGTGGCAGGGCACTCAAAACCTGGGCCCGACGGCTGCAACGACGACGGCGGCGGCAGCAACAGGGGGCGGGGGGATGGGGGTGGGGAGGGCCTCTCTCCGGCCAAGGAGCGCAAACAACGTCCACCCCGGAATTGGATCCAGGGCCGTGCCGCCACTCCCTTAGAGTGCTGGGGGCGACGGGTACGACGACGAAGCGAGACACGAAGGACGCCAACCAGCGACCACGACCGTGCCGCCCTCCGTCCGGTTCCTTACAGCACCCGCGAGCGCACGGGACAACCGAGGAGCCTGACCTCATCGGACTCGCACAGTATGCTGGCGGTGCCACGCGGAGCCCCGGCTGCACCGCTCATCCGCGGTGGCGGGGCATCTGGAAACTTGCCTCGGCCTGACGGCGAGGTGGAGGAGGAGGAGGAGGAGGAGGTGGAGGAGGAGAAGGAGGAGCAGGAGGAGGCGCCCAATCCTGGCGTATGCTCCGCAGCATCTCGCCCGCCCAGGCCCAGTCGCGGTGTTGCCGCCACCTCTCCTGGACGAGCGCGAAAGCCTCAGGGATCCACTGACCCAAGTCAATGCAGATCCGGGTCAGTCAGGCCTTGCAGGGTCCTGCAAGATCCTGCAGGATCCTGCAGGATGCAGCGCTCAAGCCCGGCTCAGTGCACCCGTGGCTTTGCAGGATTTTGCAAGATCAGGCGCTCTGACTGACCACCGCTTGCATTTACCCCCGTCTCTTGAGCCCCAGAAGCCTGCTGCAGCACGTGCGCCGGCCTGAGGTCGCTGGCCCTCGGCAGGGTGGTCAGCCGCAGGAACGGCTTCTCCAGCTCGGTGCAGACCTCGGCGGTGGCGAGGGGGGGGCAGCCTCCCAGCAGAGGCAGTGGCCTGCCAGGGGGGGGCCACGCCCTGCCCCGCTGGCCTCTACAGGGCTCCCCGGAGAGGGCAGGGACGCAGCTGCCCCGATGCGCAGCACGCAGCACGCAACTTGTTGATACAAAACGTACAGTCGGGCCTGGGCCAGAAGGGCATCCCTCAGAACAGGAGACCCTCTGGGCTCTCTCCCCGGGGATGCACCAGAATACCCAACACACACACACGAATAACATTAGCCCTGAGATCCGACGTTGCCAACGCATGTAATGCATCGTTAAAAATCACACCCGGAGCCCTGGACCCTATGATCCTGCCTCCTTTTTCGAGCCGGATCGATCTGTGAAGGCCCCCAGGGCCCGAAGAAGAAGAAGAAGAAGAAAAAGAAGAAGAAGAAGCGAAACCGCCCGGTGTCAAACAGTCTGCAACGCCAGGATCTCAGGGAGGGCACCCTGACCCTGAGCCAACACGCAACGTATCGGCACGGACGTTTGGAGCACGGCACGTGCTGCGGCCTAAACAAGGGCTCCCAGCTTCGCGCTGCGCGCTGCGCGAAGCACGAAGTGCGAATCACTTCGCGCTCTCGCGCCGCCTCCCAGGGGAGAAGATGCGGATGAGGAGGCATCGGAGCCGAACCGCGAAGCGCGAATAACTTCGCGCCCTCGAGGGCGCCCTTGGGGAAGGGGAGACGGAGACGACTAGACAGAGGCGGGGAGGGCGACGGGCAAGGCGGGAGACGAACCGAACCTCGAAGCGCGAAGCGCGAATAACTTCGCGCCCCCGAGGGCGCCCCTGCTTAGAGCGGGCGTGTCGAGGCAGCCACGGGCAGGGAGGCCTCCGCGAGGCGGGGCGCCTCCTCCGTGGGCCACCCCTTCCCGCCCTCTGCCCGCTCTGTGCGCCGCCAGGGGACCCCCTCGACGGGCCGCTCGCTGGTGGAGGCTGCCTTCCGCACGCCCTCGGCAAACCTGTCCTGAGGCCGGCTGCGCGCAGGACTGACAGGAGGAGGAGGAGGAGGAGGAGGAGGAGGAGGAGGAGGAGGAGGAGGGAAGAGGAGGAGGAGGAGGAACAGGAGGAGGAGGAGGAGGAGGAGGAGGAGGAGGAGGAGGGAGGAGGAGGAGGCTGGGGGGGAGGAAGGAGGAGGAGGAGAGAGGAGGAGGAGGAGGAGGAGGAGGAGGAGGAGGAGGAGGAGGAGGAGGAGGAGGAGGAGGAGGAGGAGGAGGAGGAGGAGGAGGAGGAGGAGGAGGCAGGGCGCGCCCATTGGGGGGGGGGTGAGAAGGGGCGGGCCCTCTCAGACGGCTCGGCAGTCCCCTGGCCTTCGGAGGAGTTTTCTGAACCTTCCCCGAAGGCACGGAGCACCTCTCAGAAGGCCGGAGGCCTTCTGAGAAGCCCTGCCGCCTGCTCAGGGGCCTCCTCCTTCTCGCTCCCCACCCCTCGCTCGCTCGCCGCCGACTCTAGCGGTGCGCGGCCTTAGGGGGGCCACACCCGAGCGCGCAAGCCGATGCTGCCGCATCGCGGTCAGGGATCGGGAAGCCCCGGTGGGCCCGCGCCGAACCCTGAGATCCGACGTTGCTCCAAAAAATGCAACATCGTTAAAAATCACGCCCAGAGCCCTAGACCCCCTGATTTTGCTTAATTTTTCTAGCCAGATCGATCTGTGAGGGTCCCCGAAGCCCGAAAAACATGCGAAAACGCCCGTTGTAAAAAATTGCAACGCCAGGATCTCCGGGAAGCTACCGCATCGCGGTCAACGGTCGGGAAGCCCCGGTGGGCCCGCGCCAAAGGTCACTCCTCCGAAGGGCCACTCTTGGAGCCTTTTTTCTAAGACCCCGGCAAGTGTACTTGCATGGGCCAGGGGAGGGACGAGGGGGGGGCCTTGACCTGAAGCAAGCCGCAAACGACTTGCACGTGCGGAAACCACGCAAGTCGAAAGACACTTGCACGCTGGCACTCGTTCGAAGAGGTGTGAGCGGGGGGGGGAACGCCATGCACGCAAACTTGCCCGAACCTTAAACATACGATCATCAGTACAATAATTATTCGTACTATTAGTATTATTCGTATTATTAATATTATCATTATCATTATTATAACTAGTATTATTAGTAATAATAATTTTATGCTAATTATTCGTTGCAATATTATTAGTATCATGATGATGATTCTTATTACATTATTAGTATTAGCATTAGTTTTATTAATAGAATTAATATTAGTATTAGTATTATTATTGTTATTATCATTACTATTACTATTTTATATATAGATGTGCTCATATATATATATATATATATATATATATATATATATAGATGTATACACATATATGTATATATAGATATAAACAAAAAGCAGAAACATTGCGTGCAGCCCGTCCTGGCAGCTGGCGGTCCCGGGGGCGGGCGCCCCAGCCTGCTGGAAGCGCAGCGCCCGCTCCCGCCGGGCCTCCAGCTCCTCGGGCGTGGCCTCCGGGCCCGGCGCGGCCCTCGCGCGCTTCCCGCCCGGCCCGGCGTCGGGGGCGGCCCGGTCCTCGCCCGGGGCAGGAGCGACACCCTGGGAGCCTGGCGTCCCAGTTTTCTTTGGACGCCCGAAGTGGGTACGGAAAGAATGGGTACAATGCCCAACAATAATTGTTGTCCCAAACCAACAGCGGCCGCTGTTGGGCAAGCGGCCTTCTGTCTCAAATGGACACAGGCCGCGGCGGCGCGGACAGCGAGTCCTGTTCAAAATGAACAAGAACTGCTGCTGGGCATCGTACCCATTCTTTCCGTGCCCATGTCGGGCGTCCAGATTCTCGGCGGCAACTATACTGGGAGGCCTTCGTCGGAAGGACCAGGGAGGAGGACGCCCCACTGGGGGGGGCCGTTGCGCTGGAGTGGGTCTCGGACGAGGCGGGATTCAGCCTGATCGAGCGGGATTCATCGGGATGCGGGCGGATTAAGCGGGATTGAGCCGGATTCAGCCGCATTTCGGACCAGGGCAAAAGCAGATTTTGACCTCCCAGGAGTTGCATCCGAGTCAATTTTTCCGCAGCGGGCGTTTTCGCCTTTTTTCGGCCTCCTGTGCCCTCACAGATCGATGCGGCTAAAGAAAAATGACGCAGGAGGATGGGGTCTAAGGCTCCGCGCGTGATGTCTCACGATGCTGTATTTTTGAGGGGCAGCGTCGGATCTCAGGGAGCAGTGTTTCTCGTTGTCGTTTGATTGTCCTTTTCCTTGGTTATGTCTTCGTTTTGCCTCTTCTGCGCAAGCGAAAGCAAAACGAGAACCGTCCACGACATCGCCTAAGCACCGTTTAGCTCGGGCCCTGTCCTCGTCGGTGGCGGTTGCGAGGGGCCAGTAGCCCTGGTAACCAAAGGGCAGGCCGCCGCTGCGCGTGTGGCCGTGGCCGAAGTACCCCGCGACGCGGAAGGCCTCCCGCGCGCACACGCTGGGGTACAGCGGGACGCCGTCGAGGTCCCGTGGGATGGAGTGGGCCCTGCCGAGGTACTCGCCGTTCAGCGTGAAGGCAACGAACCGCTGGTCTCGGTTCAGGAGGCAGCCCACCACGTCGCCCTGCCCGAAGCTGCGGCCGTAGTCGGCGAACCTGTTGGCGCACGACTTCTTCCCAGAGCCGCCGAAACCGAAAGAGCCTGGCTCGCTCCCGACCGCACGCGATGACCCGGACTGCGACCAGCCCACCCGCACGAGGTCCTTGGAGGCTTCCTCAATAGGGTCCAGGCAGACGGGGTCGGAGGATCACGCCGCATCGCCGATGCGTCGGCGACGGCGACGACGCATCGGCGCCGTCGGCGTGGAGAAAATCGGGTTCCACATCGAGCTCGGCGTAGTCGTCGCCGATGCACCGGCGATGCGGCGCGATCTTCCGACCCTATCTGCTCGGACCCCACCTGGGAGGCCTGGGGAGTCCTTCTCCCCGAGGACCTTCACCTCGAACACGTAGGAGCCCCACACGATGCCCGGGCGCCCACGGGCTGGCGGCGTGCGCGGAGGGTGTGGGGCGAGTCGGATGCTGCCAAAAGGACTTCCAGGATGTCCAAGGGCTGAAAAAAAGAGAAAGCGCCTGGAGCGGGGAGCCCGCCAGGGGCGGCGCCGGAGGCACTGCCGGGGAGGCCCAGCGCGGATCCAAGAAATTCGCGCGGAGCGCCAGCAAGTTTATGCTCGTAGCGCTTCGTCTTCTTCGAAGAAGGATGTCCCGGATGTCCTGTCGGGCGTGTGGTACTGTGGGGTGACCTAAATAGATGGTGAAGAAAAATCGGGGATGGACAGACCGACAGACCTCCTTTTAGTAAAACGTGGTTTCGTGAAAACGACCTCAGGCCTAAACCTGGCGGGCGCAAGCCTGGAAAATGACGGCCGCGGCGCCCTCGCGAGAACCGAAAACGGACAATTCACTAATCGACGTGTCAGGGTAGGGGGTCCGTCCACCCCCGAAAAAAGGCGTTACATGGGGCCAGGGCCCCTGCAGGGCACCGTGAGGGCCTTTTTCTTCGCCCCCCTTTTGGGTCCCCCACCCCCCTCTTGGTGGGCCCTGGAAACGGCAGGGCCGAATTTTCACCGTTCCCAAAAAATGCCCCTTGAAAATGGAAACGGCCAAGAAAAACGGCATCCAGAAACGGCCAAAAAAACGGCTCCAGGAATGGAACCGAAGCAAGAACCGGTCAAAAAACGGCGACGGAACCGGTAAAAAAACGGCGTCGGAACCGGCAAAAGAACGGCAAAACAGAACCGGTAACAAAAACGGCCCTGTCGTTTCCAGGGCCCACCAAGCCCCCCCTTGCCACCCGCCCGAATGTCCTGGGGAGGGGGTCGAGGCCTCAGGGGCAACACGACGACGAAGGAAGGAATGAATGGAAGGAATGATGTGCAGTAACCGACTCAGGACGCGGACGATTTTTCTGCTGTGATGCGCGGCCCACCACTCTGCTGTGCTGGGGTGCGGCCTCGGTGCTAAGCGCTCGCCGCGCTCGGGGGTCTGGCAGTCTCCAAGAATGAAGGGGCCCTGGGACACGCAAAAGAAATACCCACAAGTAAAAGGATCCCCCTATTCCTATTTTCCCATATTTTCTGGATTCCTGTCTTCCCCCCCACTTCCCATATTTCCCTAAACTTTCCAGGGGAACCGACGATTCCTTGTGTCTGTGTGTGGTCTTCCCCTCCTGAGAAGAGGCAGGGCGTCGGAGGCCCGAGCGAGGTCGGCGCGGACGCACTGACATGAGAAGAGGCGCCGTGAGATCTGGAGGAACAGCATGGCCAACGCCATGATATCCACCCCTCCCTATAGTCATCACCCCCCTCTCTGCCGCCCCCGACCACCACCCCGGTCCGACTGCATCGAACCGGATCCGTCGGACCGGAGTGGGCCGCCGGGGCTCCGGGAAGGGGTCGGGCTTCAGGGGCGGGCGCCCAGCCTCTTCTCTTTGTTTGGTTTTGTCTCTCTCTCTCTCTCGTTCTCTCGTTCTCCCCGTCTTTTTCTCTTTCTCCCTTTTTCTCTTTCTCTTTCTCTCGTTTCCTTTGTTTTCTCTCTCTCTCTCTCTTTTTATCTTTCTCTCTTTCTCTCTCTTTCTCTCGTCCTCTCTCTCTCTCTTTCCCTCGTCCTCTCTCTCTCTCTCTCTCTTTCTCTCTCTCTCTCTCTCTCTCTCTCCGCGTTGCACCGACACGGCCTGACGAGGGCCGTCGCGCCGTGAGGGCCGCGGCCGGTGGTGAGGACGGGGCTCGGAGCGCAGCCGCCCGATCGGCCACGGAGCGCATCGCCCTCAGAAAAGAACGGTCGGCCCCCCGCCCCCGTCGGCGAAGCCGGATCGCTCCTCGCCCCTGGAATTACGTCGGGCGTGTCCCCCTACAGGGGGATTTTCGACGACAAATTGTAAAGATACCCCTAAAAAATGCTCCAAAAAGGTCAAACAAGAAAATAACAAAAATGGTCCCCAGGCTGTTATTGGATTATGTTTTGATTATTTTGCGGGTATTTTTTATTTCGTCGAAAACCTCCTTGTATGGGGGACATGCCCGATTTAACCCTGTGGCAGCCCGCAACCTCTCTCAGCGCGGGATCCGACCAACGAGGGCTCCCAACCTCGCGCTCCGCGCTGCGCGAAGCGCGAAGTGCGAATAATAACTTCGCGCTCTCGCGCCGCCTCCCAGGGGAGAAGAGGGGGACGAGGAGGAATCGGGGCCGAACCACGAAGCGCGAAGCTGAATCGCTCCTCGCCCCCGTCGGCGAAGCTGGAGCCCCCAGCCCCGTCGGCGAAGCTAGATCGCTCCTCGTCCCTGGAAGTGGCAGCCCGCCCTCGGCCTCCCCCAGTGTTAAGTCGGGCATGTCCCCCTACAGGGGGATTTTGCAAGAAAAATAAGAAGTATTAAAAAAACGCTCAAAGGATACCCAAAAATAATCAAGAAGTAGTCCCCAGACTATTTTTAAAAACTATTTTTGAATATTCCCCCCTGTAGAGGGACAGGCCCGACTTAACCCCAGTGCGGGGTCCCACCAAGGTCCCCACACGATGCCAACAGGACCGCGGGACCTGGACTGTCGCCGGGGGCTCTTGCCTCCGAAGCGGCCGCCCACACAACCGGTGCGTGCCTCCCTCTCCCCTGGCCTTCAGTCGGGCGTGCCCCTCTACAGGAGGAGTATTCCCAAACAGTCGAAAAATAATCAGGGGACTATTTTTGGGGCATTGTTTGACTATCTTTTGTTTATCGTCCAAACCCCCCCTGCAGGGGGACGGGCCCGACTTCACCGCTCGCCACGGAGCGCCTCGCCCTCAGAAGCGACGGTCGACCCCCCGCCCCCGTCGGCGAAGCTGGATCGCTCCTCGCCCCTGGTTGAATATCTTTTTTCATTTTGGGGCATTGTTTGACTATTTACCTAACAGCGAAGACTGATAGGTTTCTACTAGGGTCAGAAAAAGAAAGCATCATGACTCCCCAAGGGGGTCTGGGCGGCATCCGGACAAGGATCCGCGGAAGTCGTTTTAAGCAGACAGTTGCACACGTCGTGGTCTTCGAGGTCCCAAAACTCCATTCCCTGGCCACATTCTGAATACCCGGAACCAACTGTAGGCCATTTCGTGCTCTTCGAATCCCACCAGCCCTTTGGGCGTGAGTGGTTTAGAGAGCCCGCTCTGTTCTCAACCCCCTAACCCCCTATCTTCCCCTTCGGGGAGGGGTTTACCCCTCCCCCTACCCCCTCCCCTGGACCTGGAGAGGGCGGGCCGAGTGGTGTCAAGGGGGTCTTTTTCGACTCCTGGGAGGGCCAAAAAACGACGACCCTCACGAGGATTCTGGTCCCGAGGGGGGGGGGGGGAGTTTGGCCCTTCAACTCGTCTTTGAAGCCAAAAACATTGATTTTACTACGGTGTTGGCCCCATTTTGGCCTTCTGATGGGGGCCGCGTCCATCTTCCTTCATAGCAAAATCATTGATTTTACGAAGGTTTTGGGCTCATGTTGTCCTTCTCAGGGGGCAGCCCTCATTTGCGCTTCTGAGGTCGCAAGAGGCCCCAAGATGGCCCCAAGAGGCCCCCAGGAGGCTCCCAAGAGGCCCCCAAGAGGCCCCAAGAGGCCCCAAGAGGCCCCCAAGAGGCTCCCAAGAGGCCCCCCCAAGGCACCCAAGAGGCCCCAAGAGGCTCCAAGAGGCCCCCAAGAGGCCCCACGAGGAGCCCGAACGACTCACACCAGGACGAGGGGCCCGAACGACTCACACCACGACGAGCCCGAACGACTCACACCACAAGGAGGGGCCCGAACGACTCACACCAGGACGAGGCGCCCGAACGACTCACACCACGAGGAGCCCGAACGACTCACACCACGACGCGGGCCCCGAACGACTCACACCACGAGGAGCCCGAACGAGTCACACCAGGAGGAGGGGCCCGAACGACTCACACCAGGATGAGGGGCCCGAACAACTCACACCACGAGAAGCCCGAACGACTCACACCAGGACGAAGAGCCCGAACGACTCACACCACGAAGAGCCCGAACGACTCACACCAGGAAGAAGGGCCCGAACGACTCACACCAGGACGAGAAACCCCAAACGACTCAAATCACGAGGAGCGCTTTCTCTCCCTCCTCCTCCGCCTCGTCCTTCTCCCGCTCCCCCCACAAGGAGGATGTACAAGGAGGCGGGAGGAAGGAGGAACAGGGGAGATATGCGGGGCCAAGCGGACACACGCCTGAAAAACACGACTGTCGGCATGCTTCGCAAGAGTTGCTGCTGTGAGATGGGCCGGTGGGGATACGCGAAGCGTAAAGAATTCCCAGAACTCCATTCCCGGGCCACATTTTGATGCCCGGAGCCAACTGTAGGCCACTTCGTGCTCTTCGAGTTCCCAGAACTCCACTCCCGGGCCACATTTTGAGTGCCCGGAGCCAACTGTAGGCCACTTCGTGGTCTTCGAGTTCCCAGAACTCCACTCCTGGGCATGATTTTGAATGCCCGGAGCCAACTGTAGGCCACTTCGTGTTCTTCGAGTTCCCAGAACTCCATTCCCGGGCCACATTTTGAATGCTGAGGCAGGCTGAGGCTGAGGCTGAGGCTGAGGCAGGCTGAGGCTGAGGCCGAGGCTGAAGGCCTGACTGAGGCTGAGGCTGAAGCAGGCTGAGGCTGAGGCTGAGGCAGGCTGAGGCTGAGGCTGAGGCAGGCTGATGCTGAGGCAGGCTGAGGCTGAGGCTGAGGCTGATGCAGGCTGAGGCTGAGGCAGGCTGAGGCTGAGGCCGAGGCTGAAGGCAGACTGAGGCTGAGGCTGAAGAGGCTGAGGCTGAGGCTGAGGCTGAGGCTGAGGCAGGCTGATGCTGAGGCAGGCTGAGGCTGAGGCTGAGGCTGATGCAGGCTGAGGCTGAGGCAGGCTGAGGCTGAGGCCGAGGCTGACTGAGGCTGAGGCTGGAGGCTGAGGCTGAAGCAGGCTGAGGCTGAGGCTGAGGCAGGCTGAGGCTGAGGCTGAGGCAGGCTGAGGCTGAGGCAGGCTGAGGCTGAGGCTGAGGCTGATGCAGGAGGCTGAGGCAGGCTGAGGCTGAGGCCGAGGCTGAAGGCAGACTGAGGCTGAGGCTGAGGCTGAGGCTGAGGCTGAGGCAGGCTGAGGCTGAGGCTGAGGCAGGCTGATGCTGAGGCAGGCTGAGGCTGAGGCTGAGGCTGATGCAGGCTGAGGCTGAGGCAGGCTGAGGCTGAGGCCGAGGCTGAAGGCAGACTGAGGCTGAGGCTGAAGCAGGCTGAGGCTGAGGCTGAGGCAGGCTGAGGCTGAGGCTGCTGAGGCTGAGGCTGAGGCAGGCTGAAACTGAGGCTGTGACTGCGACAGCCGTTGCCACTGCGACTGTCATCGCGAATGCGACTACGACTGCGAGAACAGCAGAATTCTACAACTGGATTCTCATCTGAATCTTAAGGGGAATGCTTACAGATTTGCTCCTACACATCGCTGTTAGGTTGCTTTGCCGGGATAATTTTTATTCTTCGTCCAAAACCCCCCCTGTAGGGGGATAGGCCCGACTCAAAACCCTGGCCCCTCTGCACGCCGCCGGACGCGCTCCAATCCAGGCCCGGCTCGGGGTCGACGCGCACCCCGCGCCCCAGTAGAAGCGGCACAGGTGGTCGAACTCGAGCTCGACCTCCTCCGGGCGGGGCGGGCGAAGCCAAGGCAAGACCCAGGAGGGCCCGAAGAGGCCACAATTATTGATTTTCCTAAGGTTTTTGGAGGATTTTGGCATTCGCTTCTTCTCGGCTTTCCGACGACCCAAGACGGCCCAGGAGGCCCCCAAGATCGCCCCCACAGCGCCCAAGAGGCCTGCAAGATTGCCTCAGGATTGCCCAAGAGGCCGCCAAGACGGCCCCAAGAGGGCACAACGACGACCCAAGCAATCGGGCGAGGACCAATCGGGAATCTCTGAGATCTGGCGGCTCTGGAGGATGTCTCGGGCGCCACGGCCTTCTCAGAGCGCTCCGGAACGGTCTGAGAGCGTTCCTTAACGCTCTGGAATGGATTACCCTCGTCCTATAGCCCCGTCCTACCAAACTCCAAAGACATGTTTTCTATTCAATCGGGGCGTTTTTTCTTTCGATTTCGGCTCTCGGGGGCCGTCTTCGGGCCCGGGGGGCAGCAAGCATGGATCCGGGAAGACAAGCGACCCTCGGGGAAGGGGTCGGGACCTCTGAGGCCGCGCGCGCTGAAAAACATATCGGCAGCTGTCTGGGCAAAGGGGGGGATAGCAAGGGGGGTTTTAACGAATCTCGAGAGACCTGAGATCGTTCTACTACTCGAGCGATTTCCGAAAAACGAGAATCACTGTGCAACCGCTTTGGCTACATCGAACAGCTTTTGTCCTGAATCTCGAGATTGAGATTCAGTGCAGGGCTCTGCCTGTGCGTGCACGCGGGTACGACCAGTAGCTTCGCTCTTTCGTTCGCGCAGCTTGTTTCTCTGGCGCCTCCTGGCGCCCCCTGGCGCCAACGCGTCGAGGGGGCGGAAACCAGCTGTACGCAACAGACTTCGTACGTGCCCACCCCCCTTTTCCTGTGCCCCACTTTTCGGGAATGGCCAGAACAGCCCTGGCACAAGGTGCCTCCCGCTTTCCGCGCGTTTTTGGAGCCCCCTGCGGCCCTCTCTGGGCCTCGTGAGTGGGGTGCTCTGGAGGCCGCGTCTGGGCCTCCCGGGACATCCTGGAGACACCTGGAGCCAGGGACACCTCTGGCAACATCTGACCTTCCGTCCGTCCTGGCTCAGACCTCCGACGTACTGTGTTGCGCTGTTTCGATTTTTCCACAACGTCGACCTCATGAGGTCTCGACCCGTTCCCCGGGACCGGTTTTTCATCCCGAGTCGCTTGTTGACGGTCCCGAGGCCCGGCGAGGGCTGTGGGAGGCCGAAAATAACGAAAAACCTTCCGTCATGACCTTTTCATGACCCGAGGGGGTCGGGGATGCCGAGGTCGAGGGGAGGGCCCTCTCGTGCACAGGGAGGCACGGCGCCGGAGACGCCGGGCTCCTCGTCCACGTCGTGCGGGCTCCAGCCCAGGTCCGCGGCGGCGCCCTCTCCCTCCTCACGGGCAGTGCCAGGGGCGGGGGGGGGGGGAACCACTGCAGTGGAGGCCAGTCCACAAGAAACCTTCCACAAGAAACCAATCCTGAGACACCGGGACGTCCACTGATTCTTTGTGTGGGCACGTCACGCCGTCCATAGCAGAACCATCGAAACCCAAGAAACCCAGGGCACCCTGGAGACAAGTAGGGTGCTTCTTGACATGGGCCCCCACTGTTTCGGCACGCCCAACACGGGTGCCAGAAAAAAAGGGGCACGGTGCCGGAAAGCAGGCGTGTCATCCAAGACCAGCAGCGCGGCCGCTGCTGTGCAGGCGACTTCTTGCCCCAAATGGGCAGCGTCCGCGGCGACACACCGGCATCGAGCCCTGTTCGGACTGGGCAGGAGCTGCTGTCGGTCGTCGTCGTTGCTTTCTTCCCGCGCCCAGCTCGATCGATCCTTCGAGGAGGAGGACCCCCCTCAGGATCCCCCTCTGGAACCCCCGAGCATCCCCGTGCATCACTCGAGCGCGTCCAAAACCCTCGCTCGACGCCTGCTCCTCGAACTTTCCCTTCCTCCGATGTCGTGATCCTTTCGGGGCGCGGGCCCTTTGGGGATCTCGAGCCGCTCCCCGGGGCCCGTCGCCCTGCACCATCTCTTGACAACGCCGGGGCCAGGACGCGGCCCCCGGATGCCGCACACGTCCGCAAGGCCCGGCGGCTTCGCACGTCCTGGGTCGCCCGAGTCTGGAGCCTCCGGAAGATCCGAGGAGGAGGAGGAGGAGGAGGAGGAGGAGGAGGAGGAGGAGGAGGAGGAGGAGGAGGAGGAGGGGGAGGAGGAGGAGGAGGAGGAGGAGGAGGAGGAGGAGGAGGAAGAGGAGAGGAGGAGGAGGAGGAGGAAGGAGGAAGGGAAGAGGAGGAGGAGGAGGAGGAGGAGGAGGAGGAGGAGGAGGAGGAGGAGGAGGAGGAGGAGGAGGAGGAGGAGGGGCAGGAGGAGGAGGAGGAGGAGGAGGAGGGCCCCCCCCAGTGAGAGCTGGAGCAAGAAGGGGGAGCTGAGACAGACGAGACAGAGGCGGCCCTCCCGCCCGACCCCGCTGCGCCCGAGGGCGCTCCCCAGGACACCGCCCCCTTCCCCGGGGTCAGGGGTCCAGACGCCACAACCCTGAGATCCGACGTGGCACAAAAAATGCCGCATCGCGAAGGAGCGCGCCTGGAGCCCGGACCCCATCTTGCGGCGCCGCTCTCCGAGCTGGAGCGACCTGCGAGGGCCCCTGGGCCCGAGCAAAAACGTGAACGCCCAGCTCGAACAAATGGAGTCGCCAACATATCAGGGAAGTGACTCCCAGGCTCGGCCGTGGCGACGAGGGGGCCCCCCGAGGGCCCCACGCGACGGCCCTGGCCTCAGCTGGCCCTCCTCGCCTCCCCAGACATGCGACTCCCTGATTTCTTTAAGACAGCGTCCCTGGAAGTCCCGACCTTTCCCCGGGACCGGTTTTTCATCCTGACTCGCTTCTTGACAGTCCCGGGGCCCGGCGAGGGCCCCCTGCAGGGGCCAAAATCGGTCAAAAACCTCCCGCCCTGATTGTTGTTTACGACGCGAGCATGTCTGCCTCGGCGCCGCCCGATCCTAGACCAGCGCGTTCCACTACTCGCAAAGCGACTCCTCGCCAAAGGCCTGGATCCGCCGGGGGGGATCTACGAGAAATTCCATCGAAGCTGACCTGTGTTCTTGTCGGACGTCTGCGAGTAGGCACTTTGCGAGTACAGTCAAAACGTGTATTAAGGACGGGTGATAAGGACGCAAGACCCTTGAAGGCCGAAGTTGGGTTTTTTTTTACGGCGGCGGGCGACCAGTGGTAACGGCAAGGACGGGCTTCAGATGCAAGGACACGAGGAGGAGCAGGATGAGGATGAGGATGAGGATGAGGATGATGAGGAGGAGGAGGAGGAGGAGGAGGAGGGGATGTTGGAGGCTTGGGTACCCTAGATGAAGGCGCGCGTGCTTACTGGGCGCGTGGACTGCAGCGGAGCGCGCCCGGGGAGGTCCTCGCCGTCCTCCCGCGGGCGCTTGCTGCCGGGCGGGGCGGCCATGCGCGCCCCGGGGCCGCGCGGCCGCCTCGTGCCAGCCTGGAACATGTCCCTGTCCCTAGGCTGGGCACCTCCTCCTCACGATGCCAATCTTGAAGGGGACCTGGGACACACATATAAACACACACAAGTAAAAAGATGCCCCATATTTTCCCATATTTTCTGGGTTTTTGTCTTCCCCCCCACTTCCCATATTTTTCCATATTTTCTAGGGAATCGACGATTAATTGTGTCTGTGGTTTTTTCCCCTGCCGAATCTTAGGGATTCCCTTATTTTTTGAAGGCGAATCCCTAAGATCGTCATCGCCTTTCGGCGTGTCAATCATAGGGATAGGGATACGTTCGAGCACGATGCCAACCTTAGGGATTCCCTTATTTTTGCAGGGCGAATCCCTAAGATTGTCATCGCCTCTTGGCGTGTCAATCTTAGGGATAGGGATACGATCGAGCACGATGCCAATCTTAGGGGTTCCCTTATTTTTTGAGGGCGGACCCCTAAGATTGCCATCGCCTTTTGGCGTGTCAATCTTAGGGGCAGGGATGCGTTCGAGGCTGGTAAGCCCCGCCCCGCCGGGCACCTGCCCGCGCGCCGCGCGCCGGGGCTGTGCTGCGCAGGCAGGCCTGAGCCGGAGCGAGCCGCGCAGCCAGAGCGAGTCGTTTTCGCCTGTTTGGGTTAAGGCGGGCGTGTCCCCCTACAAGGGGGATTTTCGACGAAAAATAAAAAGCCCCCCCAAAATAGTCAAACAATAATCAAAAAATAGTCGGGGGAGCATTTTTGGTGTATTTTTTTACCTTTTTGGCGCATTTTTGGGGCATTTTTGTATGTTTCGTCGACAATCCTCCTGTGGGGGGGACAGGCCCGACATAATGTTTGGGCCCTCGTCGCCACCGCCGGCTTCGCCTCGAGACTCTGGTCAGAACGCGCCTTGGGAAAGGTCCGGGGAGTAGCGTTCTGGGTATCTTTTCGGTCCCTTGAGTAGCGTTCTGGGTATCTTTTCGGTCCCTCGACAAGTTGCCAGCTCTTCGTCTCGGCGGAAGGCTCGCGGAAGGCGGCGGCCCTCGGAGGGTTGGCGGAGGCAGGCGTCGGGTGAAGGTCGGCCGGCTGAGAGATGAGGACGTCTGGGGATCCAACACTCCCTGAGATCCTGGCGTCTCAATCTTTTCACATCGGGCGTCTTCGCCTTTCTTCGGGCCCTGGGACCCTCACAGGTCGATCCGGCTCGAAAAGTGACTCGGAAAGATGGGGTCGAGGGCTCCAGTCGTGATTTTTCACGGTGTTGCAACTTTTTCGCAACGTCGGATCTCAATGTACTGGCCCGGATCAGTCCAAGCCCAGGGTCGGCCAGGTCTTGCTGGAGCCGGCAGAATCCTGCAGGATATTCTGCGCCCAAGCCCAGGGTAATGCAGCCCTGGCTCACAGGATCCTGCAAGATCTGGCACTCTGGCTGGCCCCCGTTTGCATTGACCCCCGTCTCTGGAGCCCCAGGGACATGGGATCGCATCGCCGGCGGATCGTCCCGAACTGGATCCGAGGTCTTCGACGACTGCGACGACGTCGGCGGCAATGTCGATCACGACCGCGGCCACGGTCCACGGCGACCGAGGTGATGACGACAACGGCGACCGAGGTGATGACGACAACGACGACGAGCCCTGACAGCCTTCAAAGGCCTGACAGCGACAACGACGACGAAGATCGGATCGCCGCACCCAGCTCTAGCTGGCCCTGGCCGTTGCCGGTGCATCGAGTCGCATCGGATCGGATCGGGATCGCGGGCCCAGTCGGCGAGTCGACTCGCACCGAATCGCCCGCGCCTCCAGGGAGGCGGAAGCTGCGCTCCCCGTTTTTTGTTATGTACATCTATGTATACATTTACTTATAATTATATACCTATACGACCGCCCTGCGGGCGATAAGGAGGTTTGGGGGGGGATTGAGATCAAATGCCCACCCTGACTGACATCCAGCCTGTCACCTTGATCTCCTCTTTCTCTTTCTCTGTCTCTCTCTCTCTCTTTCTCTATGTGTCTCTCTCTCTCGCCCTCTCTCTCTCTCTCTTCCTCTCTATCAGAGACTCCCTCAACCACAATGATGATCGGGATGACGACGAGACCCCAGTATCTCCTATCCGTCGACCGACCGACCTATCGGTGAATCTCACTGTCGATCTCACTGTCGACCTCAAAAGCAAAATGAGAAAGCCCGCCGCAGGCGCCGAACAACGATTTGCTATCGGACAACCACAGGACAACCATCGGCACAACTATAAGATGATATGGATTGGATAAGGTAGGATAAGGTGGATTGGATTGGATGGGATAATATGGATTGGGTAAGATAAGATAGATTGGATTGGAAGATATGGATTTGATAAGATAAGATGGATTGGATTGGGCCGCCGCAGGCGCAGACACACATGAATTTATGGATTCGGTTGGATGGATGAGATTGGGTGGGATAAGATAAGATGGGACAATCTGGGCTGGATAAGATAAGATTGATTGGATTGGACAAGCTGGATTGGATAAGATAACCTGGATTGGATAAGAAAGCCCGCCGCAGGCGCCGACAAACATGCATTGATGGATTGGGTTGGGTGGATTGGATTGGATGGGATGAGATGGATTGGAAAAGATAATATGTGTTGGATTGGAAGAGCTGGATTGGATAAGATGGTATGGATTGGATTGGCCCGCTGCAGGCGCAGAAACAAATGAATTGATGAATTGGGTTGGGTGGATTGGATTGGGTGGGATGAGATAAGATGGGACAAGATGGGTTGGACAAGATCATATGGATTGGACAAGATGGATTTGATCAGATAACCTGGATTGGATAAGAAAGCCCGCCGCAGGCGCCGAACAAAAATGAATTATGCGTTAGCGCCGGGACGCCCAAAACACCCAGGACACCGCCCTCCCCAACTGGGACACCTCCCGGCCACAGGCGGTCTGAAAACGGACTTTCGCTCCTACTGACACCTGGGACGCCCGGGACACCGCCTGGCCCAACTGGGACACCTCCCAGCCACCGGCGGACGGGAACGGACTTTCGCTCCTACTTCGGCCTAGCTACAGGAGGATCGCGCGCAGCGTCGCCTTGCGCGCACGCGCGACACGAACACGAAACCGAAACCGATTTTCCGGTGGGGGGTCTGCGTTTAACTGCGATCTCACTCCCCAACCTCCGATATATGTGTATATATACATCTATATCTATAGATATATATATTTATGTATTCTCGGGGGGGGGGGCAGCAGCGGCAGCAGAGGCGCGCGTTGAGAACTCTTGCTGCAAGGGATGGGTGGGGGGGCCTAAACGGTGTTTTTCGTTTTCCTTTTGTTGTCGTTTTCCCTCGCTTTTGTCTCGGATCCTCCTTTACCGCAAAACGAAGTCGAAACGAAACCGGCCCACGAAATCACCCAAAACACCGTTTAGGTCCAGCCCTGCCAAGATGCACCCCAGACGCCCAGGACAACGTTGTCGTCGTCGTCGTCGTCGTCGTCGTCGTCGTCGTCGTCGTCGTCGTCGTCGTCTCCCTTCCGGCGGCACCGGCCGCGAGGCCTTCGCAATTGTCCGATCGACCCTGGACCTCGCGGGTGTCCCCCAGAACTCCAGCGACCGTTCGGGGACGTCGGGAGAGGAGGGATCTCCGTGGGGCACCTGCTGACAGCAATCGTGCTGCAAGAAGGAGAGCCGAGCAAGGAGCGAAGTGGCGCTTCTGACCGCGGCGAGCCTCGGCCACGAACAAACTCCCCGACCTAGTCTGAGGAACGGCCCCCCAGAACTGGAGCCCCTCCAGAGCTTCGAGAACCACCTGAACAGTTGCCGCAGCATCAGGTACAGCGAGCAGGAGGAGGTGCAACACGCAGCAGCAGTGGCCGCTGAGGAACCGTAAGGCAACAGCAGTGGCCGCGAGGGCCTCCTCCTCCCTCTCCCCTCCCCCATCCTCCCTCTCCCCCTCCCCCTCTCCCCTCATCGGACTCCTCGTCATCTCTCTCTCTCTCTCTCTCTCCTCCCCTCCCCGGTCAGCATGAGCCGCTCCCCATCGCCGCGCCGGCGTGTCTCCAGTCGCTTCTCGCTCTTCGCTTCTCGCTCCTTGCTCCTCGCGCTTTGCTTTGTCTTGCTCCTCGTCGCTTCTCGCTCCTGGCTCCGCCTGCTCCCTTGCTCCTCCGAAAGCACACCTGGGGAGGCACGAAAAGTGGCGCGCGCCTCCCGACGTGCCAGCCCGCGTGTGGCTGGTCAGACCATTGGCCGTGCCAACCCGACTCAGCTTTGCTACCTCGTTGACAGGGTGGGCGGGCTGCGTGCCCGGGGTAGCGCCGACAAATGGTCGCGGCCAAAGCCGCCCATTGTATAGCACGTAGGCGGGGCCGCTGTCCTGTTTACTGGGGAAGTATACTTGACAAGACGTCTGGGCAGTGAGCGGCATAACAGCAATAAGTGTGAGCGGCATGGCTGGATGCTTCATTCTGGAAGAGGGTCGGCGTAGACGATCGCGAAGTCGCCGTCGGAGTCCGCCTCGAGGAAACGCCAGAAGAAGAACAAGTACGACAGTTTGCAGTTGCCGATCTGGTAGACGCTGAGGATGAGAAGAATAACCAAAGGTACATTTGTGCGTGGCGAAGCCGTCGTGCTGGCTGCGGCTGGATTTGGTGACTGCAGCGCTCGCCAGATGCGTCTGGCTGGCTGCGGTCCACAGTCGGGACACCAACATGCATCGGCGACATTAGGTTGGTGACAAGGCCCCGTGGCGCTAAGATGGTGTGCGTCCTCAGAAAGACTCCACCACGAACGCAGCTGTGCGGGCACCTTGGACTTGGGCCGGCACAGGGACGAACGCCAGCTTGATGCTTGGGATAGCCGTGGTAGTGCTGAGGCCCTTGGCTGGGGCCAAGGTCCGCCAACCAGCTACATTAACAAGCTGTACGTCGTTCGGCGCGCGCAACATGTGTCTACCAAGAGGAAAGCCATCACTTCTGCGAACAAGCCGAACACAAAT